TCTGGATCCCATGCTCTAAAGATAAGATCCAGCATACAAGAAAATCCTGGTTACGCCACTAGTACATTTGTCACACTCATTCTCTAAACGATATTCCATTACAAAACTGCAATTATTATGCCATCTATTATATTTCATTCTGTTTATTCTTATATTAGTTCTTATATTTATTTCTTATTTATTTCCTTTTTTTTGTCTTACTTTTTTCACTAAAATCCACTCATTCATATATCGAATCTCATTTACGTAGAACATATATTTCGAATATTCCGTATCTCTTTTAGTAGTGTTGTGCTTTTAAGTCAATTAGTTGTTTTTTCTCATTGTGATAGTGTGCTTGCTCTGCACATGTATTTAAACATGATTCTAGCCATGCAAAACTGAACAAGTTAAAGTTTTTCTTAATCATGCATAATCTATCAACCGTGCACAAACATTACCATCGATTCTACTGGAGAAGATACCGAACTATTGCTACTCATTTTTGAGTTTCAAAAAAATGATTAATCTGAAGAAGAGTTTTATAAAATAAAAATAATTTTAAAATATTTTTTTCTGTGCTAGGAAAATACTCAAATATCCAGAATACGAATAATATCTTAATACAAAAGTTTTTCATACCTTAGCGCGGCACATGATCAGTTGTGAAAATGAAAGTATGTTCAATAATAAAGTAATTAAATGAAAAGAAAAAGGAAACGAGCAAACTTTTAAATAGCAACGTTCTTTATATGAAAATGCTCCATGTATAGTGTATTAAAGACAAAAGCATTATGTCAAAAGAACGAAATAATCACAAATAAGATCAGCAGAGGGCGTTCAATGTCCAGATCTGATATGATAATGAGAGTAAGAGTGAGGGTGTGCGATGATAATAAGATGTCGAAAAATCATTAAAAACAGTAAAGATGAACACTAAACTCTGGCACTGAAAGAGTATCTTGCAAAACTGATTGAAATGATTTGCATTTAAATGGATTGATGTTTTTTTTTATTAAGGTTTTCTCCACTTACATTTCTATATGTATGTGTAATACTGTTGCCTAGTAAATATTGTGTCAATTACATTCAGAGTAATTAGGTGTTATCTTTGGTTAGCATGTTTGAAGAAATATAATCAAACAGAATAATCAACTCTTTCTCTTTTCATTCGAATTTTATTTTTGACGAAACGGGAATACAAAGAAAAAAAATTTTCACATAAGAGGAAAGGCAATTAAGATTTCGTCGAAATGGAACCTAATCAATCTAAGAAAGACTAATACTCTAATACACTTCAAAAGTTGATGCATTTGTTAATTGCTAATACAGAAAAGATAGTAAATGTAGAATTGATATCATTGTTTTCTTAAATTACAAAATCTGTATGGTTTTCAATCAGAGAAACTTACTAAAAACTAAGTAATAAAAAATATATCTTCGGCTGTAATCAAGTACATCTTGGTTTTTCCCGTCCTACGCTTTCTTGATGATATAATTTGTATGGATAGCAGAGGTCCGCGAGTCAGTTGAAAAATCGACTCGCCACCGCCTCGTCATGCTGGCGAGTTGCTAGTCGTCGCTTCGCCTCGCCCCGCCTTCTCAACCTTTGACTCGCCACCGCCTCGCCTCGCCTAACATCTATCATAAAAAAGATTTTTTGAGGCAGTTTCTCATTCATCCAGAACAATTACTATCTTTTTATTTCGTAAGATCAAACATAGTACAACAAATAACGGATGAAGCAGAATAAATGGTTACGCCTTTGTATTTCTGTGTTCAATCACTTAATACGTTGTATTAATAAAATAAAATACGCTACAAGATGCAGTGTGAAAAGCTCTACAATTTATATAAGACAGCTTCTTTCATAGTTGCGCTTTATGTTTTGCAAATCGACAAAAGTCTGAGGGGTCAGATTTAGACGCTGCAGAAAGTTCATTCTTTTCTTTTCTTAGTTGAGATTTGTTATTACCTGATATGTTTTACTTGAAAAAATAAAATATATCATAATGTGCAGCGTGACAAGCTCTACAGTCTACAATGTAAAGTTTACTTTAATACTGTACTTTTTATATTCAAAAAAGAACAAAATACTGTGTGACCACCCTTTGCAGCATCGAAATTAGATCTCTCACAGTTTTGTCGATTTTCAAGACAAAAAAGTGTTACTATGAAAGAATCTATCTTATGTAAGCTATAGAGCTTTTCACACTGCATCTTATGATAAATTTTGTTTTTTTAATACAACGTATTAAGTAATCGAAAATTGCAATGGAAAGCATAGCCATTTAACAAGCTTCACCTGTTACATATAAATAGGTTCACAAATCAAAAATATAAAATGCGATCAAAATAAATAGGAATCATTCATTCTTTTACTGAACGTATAAACAATTTATTGTTAACTTGTTATGGATTTCAATGAGTACGTCTAGAATTGACCATCAAATCATCGACACTGAATTGGCGCTTGACATTAACTATAGTTGCTCGAATTGAAAAAATTAATCGAGCAACCTTTAATAATATTGGATAAATGAACAGATGTTCATACCAAAACTTAAAACAATTATCGTCTATTAAGTCAAGCTCAATAAGTTACTCAAGATATTTGCCTTATTTGTGGCCGTGCTCGTCATCAAATTGAAGATATGGATCTTACTGACTTATTATGAGTAAGAAATTTTTTCATTATTCGCCAAAAAATCATATTGTAGGTAGGCGAGTCGACTCGCCGAGTCACAAGATCAACTCGTACTCGCCCCGGTGCGAAGAATGCCGCCCCGTCTCGCCTCGTGGCGGGGCGAGGCGAGGCGAGACGGGGAAACTCGGCGAGTATCGGATCTCTGATGGATAGCCTACTTTTCACTCAACATTGATAAGTGCTCTGAAGTTCATCAAAACTGGAATGAATACTTTGCAATGAAATGAAAAGATTGCTATTGCTCCTGCGTTGTTTTTCCTCTCCTCTTTTGACAAGTATAAATAACAACATTTGTGAAATAAAAAAAGAATGAAGTACTAATAATACTTTCATTTAATCATAAAATGTCGCCAAAATCATTACCGTTACTCACAATTGAAATAGTTCAAACACCGCTTGTTGTCTATTATACCTATAGTCTTGCTCATTTTCGATAGCTTTAGTAATATCCTTACTATCTATATTTTTCTTCGTTGTAAGCTTCGTTTGATTCCTTGTTCATGGTATTTTCTTGCATCGACTTGTAGCAATTTTCTTACACTCTACATGAGATGTCTCACATGATAATCTTAATTTCATATAGTTACAATTCTCAAACACAACAAACATCATCTATCTTCTGTAAAACATGTATATATTTTACAATTTGACTTCAGATCGGACCATGTGTAGATCAATGGGTATCGACAAGCACAAATTTACAAATAAAATCATTTAGTCGTATGAAGATAGCAAAACGAGTCATCAAGGGAATAATTCTCTTTATATGTATATATCTTTTGTGATGAGATATTCTATTGTTATGATAGTATATATCAACCAGCTTCAATAAATTGTTATCTAAAATCAAATATATGTGATCTCTACAATCAATATGCATTTTTTTCTTATTTATTCTTTCTTACCAATGTAGTCTTATACTGATATTCGGTCTATTAACCATTTGAAATATACAAAAGAAAACTCGACAATGGATTGTTTTACTCACGATTACATTGCATCATTGAAATCCTAACAAGAAAATAAAACAAATGACTATTATGCTTCTTATTGAAGTAATATTTTCTATACTTCTTTATCTATCAATACCTTTGCAAAAAAATTTATTATATAATTACCTTTAATTACACAAAATCAATTGAACAATAACAAATAGAATATTCCATTCATATCGTAGTTGTAATTATCTCTTTAACGAATAGTACAATAGCATTTTATATCTTTGCATGTATGTACTGAACATGTATTTCGAAAGGAATTTAAATAAATTTTGTTTTCTAAATGTGTAACTCCTGTTACACCAAGAGTACAACAAACGATGTTCTATTCGACTGTGTATACGAGAAAGAAAGCATCAAGACAATTAGTTTTTGTAGAAACTTATATATATATAATATCAAAATCCGACTTAACACTTATTTTCATAGTCTTCATTGAATCATCTCATTTATTGTGTTTGACAAAACTAATGAAAATCAAAAATTTAAATGTTATGATGGTGTTTATCAACAGACTGGCATTTCAATTTAATTCAGAAAATTTCTTTATCGTAATTGACATACGCTATTCTAACGAAACAAATCTCAACTCATTTAATACTCATTAGACGTTTTATTAAACTCATCGGTAAATAAATCCATAATTTGCTGTTCTGTTTATAGATTTTTATTGTTCTCCCTCCAATCGGAGTTGGACACAAACAGTACTAATAAATTCAAATGATAAATTGTTGAACTTAGATGATGCGATAAAAGTAACAAAACATGTCATTTATAATAATAGAACAATAGTTGACGTTTATTGAATCAATATCTAATTACAACACAAATGTTTTCAATAGATTTGCGACATTTGTCGAAGACTGTTTAAAAATAAATTAATGGTAAACATAGCATTTCCTCGGTATTGAGTGGTATAAATGGTTGTTGTATTTTTTCTATTCTCATGACTTACTCACTTATGTGACGTAGAATTTTCTTTTATCAATTTGAAAATTTTTATAATTAATCTATTGCTCATTTTAGTCTGGTGTCGTTTTCAACAGTGATTGACAACAAGTAAAAATGGTAATAGACACATATGTCGTACCGAACAGCAAGACTCAAGAATGAATGACAGATGTTATTAAAGATGATACTATTTGAAAAACATCATCTGAAATAAAAGACAGTAGTTAAAAAATGAAATATCAGTTTTTTAAGTATTAAAACTTTATTTTTATATAGCTTGAACAAACATTAATTCACTCTCAGATTCTACTAACGAGAAAAGGTCTTCAACTGGCCGACGCCGTTTTCAATGATATTTTGTCCATATGTTCAGATCAGTATTTTAAGAAAAATCCTAAGAGGGTTTGGACTGATGGGGCTTCCTTTGAAGGTTATGACCATTTTACTGATTTTTCCACCTAGCACAAAGTATATAGGGAAAAATTGAACAACGGAATTTCAATCTGAGATTTTGCTTATATGTAGCTCTTGTGGCCATTAGAACACTCTAAAAGTTTCAGCTGAAAAAAATGTTTCCTTCTGGAGATATTCAATTTTTAAAAATGTCAATCTTTCAGGACTTTATAGACTATGAGATAAGTTTTTAAGAATCAATATCTACAGAAGGAAATAGTTTTTTCAGCTGAAACTTTTAGAATGTTCTAATGACCACAAGAGCTACATATGAGCAAAAGTTTAGATTGTTACGGAGAGAATTATTTTTGACTACCCTATGTGCTAGATTGAATATTCTTCTAGATGACTTTTAATCGAACAAGTCTTAATTATCATATTTTTTGTTTATTTGACAATAAGATGGAATAGCATGCGAGAACTATAATTTGAATAGAAGAACAAATGAAAAAATATATTAAAAAAAAAAGAAAAAAGTTGTTTGATATAAACAATTATCCAGAATAAAAAGGAGAAAAAAAAAGTATTTATGATATTTCTGAAATTGA